ACAGGAGCCCATCCACCTGCTGGAAGAGGCTTCGAAAAGGCGCACACTCCCGAGCCGACTCTCCCGCGACGCGTGTCAGACGAATATTGACCCCCCGAGCCACCCCCAGACAGCGTGAGGAACCCGTCGGGGCCTCTGGGAGCTCGGGAGAAATTGCCGAATTCGGAGCGGCGGGGAGGTCGAGGTCGAGAGGAGGAGGAGGAGGAGGAGGAGGAGGAGGAGGAGGAGGGGGAGGAGGAGGAGGATGAGGAGGAGGAGGAGGAGGAGGAGGAGGAGAGAGGAGGAGGGGAGGAAGAGAGGAGGAGGAGGAGGAGGAGGAGGAGGAGGTGGAGACCCCACTGCTCTAATCAGAACGAGAACCCATCCAAGGGAGGGTTGGGAAAAAAAGATCGGGAGCTCTGGGCCCGCGGGAACGGGCCCTAAATGCTTTTCCTTGTGTTTGGCCCCCTGGAACCCCCCACGAGCCTCGTGACCGTCAGAAAACGACTCAGGATGAAGAGCTGGTCCTGGGAAAGCCCCGGCATCCAGGACCCGTTATCCTCAGGTCCCCTGAGTTTCATGGCGACGGATGAAGGAGGCGGAGGACAAGCAGGAAGGAGTCCTGAATCTTGCCCACTACGCTCGAGAATTGAACATCGAACGCTTTGAACTCGTTCGGTCCTTGTCCGTCAAGGTCTGGACAACAAATTGGGACAAACTGGCCAAAGGCCGGATGTCTTGGTCCCATTTCCTTCTGCTGTCCTCCCCCAGTTACCGGAGATCCGATGCCTTGGTTTTCCATTGCAAAGTCCATTGTCCATTGGAGTCTGGACCCTTTCCCCAAGGTAGGCTCTTCGTCCTGACTAATGTTTGACGGTGGCGGGCCCGGCGAGGGCCCCTGGAGGCCGAAAATGGCTAAGATCCTTCCGTCGTGGTCTTTTCACGACGCGAGGATTGGCGGCGCGCACAAGGGGGTAGGGGGGAAGGCTTCTTAGGAGGCTGCTTCTTAGAAGGCGCTGGCCTTACATCCATAGATAAGGCACGCGCCTTCTAAGAAGCAGGGTGCTTCTAAGAAGCCTTCCCCCATACCCCTAACCCTCCCTCTTCGCGTGGCCGAGAGGAGGTCTGGGCCCCCTCCTGTCCCACCCCCTCTCCTCCCTCCCCCAGCCTCGTGCAAGAGTGACCGTGCGCAAGAGTGACCTCTGTTGCGCGGCTTTCGAAAAGGGCGCGAGGTCCCCAGACTCAGACGCACAAACCGCTGCTACCGCATCGGATTCAGCGATCCCGGCACGCCAGTGGGTCCGCACCAAAGGTCACTTCGGCGAAGGGTCTGGAGGCCTCACGGATGGTGTCCGAGACGATGGTGTCGGAGGATCGCCCCGCATCCGCGATGCAACGGCGACGTCGGCGATGCATCGAAAATCGGGCTCCACATCGAGCCGCCACGCCGATGCATCGGCGACTCGACGCGATCACCCGACCCCGCCTGCTCGAACCCCCTTGGGGAGGCCTGGAGGGCCCGACGACGTCGATGCCAGTCCTCCACGTCGGCGCCAATTCGGTTCCAACCAGCGAGCAGCTGCCACCCCGAACGAAAGAGTACGACCTTCCTGCCCGTCCCTCTCCGCACTGGTCGCCGTCGCTGCTGCTCCCTCGTCCCACCCCGCTGTGCCTGCGTAGCCCTACGGGACTTCACGTTCTGAATGGTTCCCGCCTCTTCTTGCCTCTCCCGCGCCCTCCTCTGCATTCTGTGCCTCGATTCGTGCCCAGCGCGTCCCGCCCGTAGCCCGACCGGCGCTGGCACCAGCTTCGACTCGCTTGCGCCCGCTGGGTGACAGTGTTTCGAGGACGTTGGCCTTTGGGGCCGGCCGCGGGGCCTCCAAGATGGCCCAAGAGGCTCCCAAGAGGGATCCAGGACGGGCCCCAGGGGACCATCCCTCAGGGCATGCTGGAGGTTGCGGCCTCCACCCACGCTGCCGAGACCTCCAGAACAGTCGTGCGGGAGACCCAGACATTCGTGGGTTGCCACAGGTGCCCCTGGCCCAAGCTGCCCCAAGCTTCTCCCTTAATTCTGGAGCCCCTGGGGCCCTCTGCGCCTCGTGAAGGGTGCTCTGGAGGTCGCGGGGGCCTCCTTGGCAACCCTGGGGCCACCTTGGGCCAGGGGCACTTCTGGCAACACCAGAGACATGTTGCCCTTCGCGGCTGCTCTCTCGTTTCACCCCGCTGTGCTTATGTGGCCCCACTCCCTGCGTGCGGTCGGCTCCTCCCCTGCCCCCCCCCTTCCCCTCTCCCTCCCCCTCCTCCCCCTCCTCCTCCTCCTCTCCTCCCTCCTCCTCCTCCTCCTCCTCCTCCTCCTCCTCCTCCTCCTCCTCCTCCTCCTCCCCCTCCTCCTCTCCTCCTCCTCCTCCTCCTCCTCCTCCTCCTCCTCCTCCTCCTCCTCCTCCTCCTCTCCTCCTCCTCCTCCTCCTCCTCCTCCTCCTCCTCCTCCTCCTCTCCTCCTCCTCCTCCTCCTCACTCCTCCTCCTCCTCCTCCTCCTCCTCCTCCTCCTTCCCTCCTCCTCCTCCTCCTCCTCCTGCCTTCCTCTCCTCCGCCTCCTCCTCCTCCTCCTCCTCCTCCTCCTCCTCCTCCCTCCTCCTCCTCCTCCTCCTCCTCCTCCTCCTCCCTCCTCCTCCCTCCTCCTCTTCTCCTCCTCCTCCTCCTCCTCCTCCCCCTCTCCTCCTCCTCCTCCTCCTCCTCCTTCTCCACCTCCCCCTCCTCCTCCTCCTCCTCCTCCTCCTCCTCCTCCCTCCTCCTCTCTCCTCCTCCTCCTTCCTCCTCCTCCTCCTCCTCCCTCGCTCCACCTCCTCCTCCTCCTCCTCCTCCTCCTCCTCCTCCTCCTCCTCCCCTCCTCCTCATCCTCCTCCTCCTCCGCTCCTCCTTTTTCCTCCTCCTCCTCCTCCTCCTCCTCCTCCTCCCCTCCTCATCATCATCATCATCATCATCATCATCATCATTATCATCATCAACATCATCATCATTATCATGCTGCTGCTGCTCCTCCTCCCCCTCCCACGGCGGGGGCCGTCCGTGGGTGGCTAATTACACGCCCCCGCTCCGCGGACGCGCGTGGGCGCCCCACGCGGATCCCGCGTGCTTGGCGCAGCGGCTTCTGCTCCTCCTCCAACCCCGCCTCCTCCTTCGCCGCCGCCGCCCCTCCCCCTCTCCTCCTTCTGCTGCTGCTGCTCCTCCTCCTCTCCTCCCTCTTTTTCCTCCCTCCCCCTCCTCCTCCTCCTCCTCCTCCTCCTCCTCCTCTTCACATCGGCCTCCTCCTCTTCCTCTTCCTTTTCCTCCTCCTTTACATCGTCCTCCTCCTCCTCCTCATTTTCTCGCTCTCCTCCTCCTCCTCCTCCTCCTCCTCTTCAATTGCACACTGTGCATACTACTTTCCTCTCTTCCCTGATGACGTCGGGAAAATGTCCGGCCCCCGTCCGCGTACTGCTTTCTAGCATACATGATTCCTGGGAGTTGGGCGTTCGCTTAGATGTGCTTCAACATGTTGTTCCCGCTGAAGCGCTGGCCCTTATTTTCGGACTTCCACTCGTTCCGAATCGTGCTCCCGCTACAGCGCTGGCCTCATTTCCGCGCTTCCGCTCGTTCCGAATCGTGCTCCCGCTGCGGCGCTGGACTCATTTCCGCGCTTCCGCTCGTTCCGAATCGTGTTCCTGCTGCAGCGCTGGCGTCATTATTTCCAGTGCCATGTCACGGCATGGCTTTCGGTCCTTCCATAGGCCCCAAAATCTAGAAAATGCCCCCCCCCCCCCCCCACGAAACAAAAACCATCAGACGTGATTACCCATCGTTCATTTCTAATCGTGCTCATTTCTAATTGTGCTCGTTTATAATTGTTCCTGACGCCCTAGTGGCCAGGAAGAGGCCCAGGGTAGAACACTTAGAAATGAAAGGATCTTGCCCCCCCCCCCAAAAAAAATCAAAGAACTTCCGAATACTTAGAAATGAACAATGTGTACACGTTTGGTGCCGATTCGTTCATTTTTTGGGCCGCAGGAGCCCCACCCCAATTTTGGGCGTCGCCACGCCGTGCTATGTCATGCTACGCGTTGATCTTCAATGCCATGCTATGCCATGTAATGCGATGCCATGCTGCGACATCCGCCTGTGCGAATAGAATGGAGATCTACGCCATGTTATGGGATGGGAGGGAGGGGTAGGACGTCATAACGCGAGCGCACTATAACGCGAGCCACCTAGCTTGTCCTCCTCCACCTCCCCCTCCTCCCCCTTCTCCTCCCTCCTCCTATCTCCCGTCCCTTCTCCCCCTCCCCCTCTTCCCATCCTCCTCCTACCCCCCCTCGCTCCTTTACCAGGGAGAAACCGAAAACGCACACAACCAATTCACTCTGGAGGTCTGAGCGGATTTGTCGAATCGGCCGCCGACCCCCCTGGAGGCACTCCTGGCGCCGCTAGGGGGGTCCAGCCTCGACCCAAGAAATCCGCGAGGAGCTTCGGACATCTATCTGAATACAATGTGTTAGTCTTCTGTGCTCTCTCGCCTTGTCTGACGTTTTCTGGGGGAAGGGGAGGTCGTTTCCCGTCGCGGGCCTGGTGCGGTGTTCAGCCGTCCGCCAGGGCGCCGACAAAATAATCCCCGAGGGGCCGCTGCCCCCTTTTGCGAATTTGCGCCCTGGCGGGGTCGGGCTTGCCTTGCACGCCTAGCCCGGGTGGGCACTCGCTTTGAATACATGCGAGTGATGCGGCTGCAGACGGGTGGAGGAGGAGGGAGGAGAAGGAGGAGGAGGAGGAAGAGGAGGAGAAAAAAGGGGAGGATGAGCAATGAAGAGGCGGTCCTCCTTCCCGAGGGTACCGGTCACCCGAGGTATCCGTTAAAGTTGGTGGTGAGATTTAATGAAAACGATCAAATTATCCCCCCCTCCGCCCTACCTGCTCCACGATGATGAGGATGAGGACAGGGCAGAGGCAATGAGGAGGAATGAGTGAGCAAAGTGAAGTGGGGAGGCGGGTCCTCGGAGACGGAGCCAAAGACGACGTGCTTGCCGTCAAGCCACGAAGTCTTGACAGTGCACAGGAAGAACTGGGAACCGTTTGTGTTGGGCCCCGCGTTGGCCATCGAGAGGATGCCCGGACCTGGAGGAGGAGGAGGAGGAGGAGGAGGAGGAGGAGGAGGAGGAGGAGGAGGAGGAGGAGGAGGAGGAGGAGGAGGAGGAGGGGGGGGAGATGGAGCAGGGAAAAGCGGGGAAGGAGGAAGGAAGGAGATGATGCTGAGAAATAAAGGGAGGAGGAGCAGAGGGTGGGTCTGATTTGATGGGTTCCTGGGCCTGTGTGCTTCAAGGTGAAGTTTTCGTCTGCGAACTTGGAGCCGTAGATCGCCTCGCCGCCAGTGCCGTTTCCAGCTGTGAAGTCGCCGCCCTGGCACATGAAGTCGGGGATCACGCGGTGGAAGCTGCTGCCTTTGAAATGCAAGGGCTTGCCGCTCTTGCCCGTACCCTTCTCCTGGGAGGGCGCCGACTGATGCATGCGCGAACACCAGGGCTGGTCGGACCCACCCCGTGACAAATGTTGGTGCGCGCTCGTTCTTCGCCCTTGGCCAGCGGCTTTCACCAGCGTTCGTGGGGAGAGAGAGAGAGAGAGAGAGAGAGATGTGAGGCAAGAAGGAGGGAACGCACGCACTCAACGATCGTCTCACATGTCAGTGGACACGTATGCACGGCCAGGCCTATCCAACCCTGGTGTTTGTGCATTGTTGGCGTTCCCCGCGATTCTCCCCGGTGCACAGGCAGCGGAAGTTCTCCGCGGTCTTTGGGACTACGTCCGACCTCAGCTCCATGACGATGCGGCCCGCGGCCGTGCCGCCAATGGTCATGTCGAAGAACACCTTCGGGTTGGACATCGCAACTGGGTCGAATGGTCTTGGTACCTTGCGAAGCTTCTCGAGCCAGCTTGCTTGAGCCAGGCTAACGACTAGCGACGGCACGCCCTGCAAAACTCAGCAGAGGCAGTATGCTCACGCGCCTCGCCTGGAATGGGCGGCAATGCCTCGGTAAGCGCTAGCGCGTTTGTACCTCACGGCATGTGAGCAGTCATCAATCTCGTTGCTTTCGTCGGATGTGTGGGCGAATCGGGACGGGCCGTCTGCGTCGCCTGGATCTGATGAGGCGTTCACCACAAGAAGGTTCCTCAGTGGAACATCCCTTCTGTCATGCCCCCGCCGTGCTCTGCGAGCCTGCGGAGACGCTGACTCAAAAGTGGCGCAGCGCGGAAGAGATGTTCGCAGGAAAGTTGAGAAACGTGAAGTGGGACTTGGCGGCCAGCGAGGGGGGGAAGTGAGAAGGAGAAGGACTTCTCAGAAGGCGGCGGGACTTCTCAGAAGCCCTCGCGCCCTATGAACAATTTTCTTGTCTTCGGGGAAGACTTAGGGAACTTCTCAGAAGGCCGGGGGACTTCCGAGACTTCTGAGACTTCTGAGAAGGCCCGCCATTTCTCACTTCCCCCCCTCGCTCACCGCCAAGGGACATTCTAAACATCATGAGAGTAATCAAGGCTGGAAAACTGGGCGGCCTGGCCTGGAAGACCTCGGGCTACCAGGGGGGTGCCACCCGAGGCCAGACAACGAAATCTAGAGGTGACGCTGGCCTGACGACAAGCCGCCGCCCTCCCTGCTCAGAAGCAGCATCAACCAGGTGCGCTGCGGTGCCGCGCAAGAGACACGCGCACACACACTGCATCGCGCGCAACATCCACGGCACGGAACGTGCGGCGAGGCACCCGTGGCACGATGCGCGCTGCACGGCAAGCCGGACGACACGGCATACGCGCGAGACGCCAGGAACGACAAGCACGGCCAAGCTCGCGCTGCACGGCGTGGCACGGCGTCGCACGCACGCCACCGCCCGCACGGCGCGCACCGCACTGTGGCACATGGCACGCGCGGCTTCACACGCATAGGCGCGTCTTGGCACGGCACGCTTGGGACGGCACGGTGCACCACGCGAGGTGGAACACCCACGGCATGGCACGCACGACACGTGCGGCGCGGTACTGTGCACGACATCTCAGATGGCGTGGCACATGCGGCACGACATCTCAGATAGCGTGGCACATCTCAGGACAGCTCCAAGAGAGCTGCAGATAGCCCCAAGAGAGGCCTGAGAGAGCCCCAAGACGGCCCCAAGAGCGCCCTAGAGCGTCCCAAGAGCGCTCCAAGAGACGATTCTGAGCACTGGGGCAAGACTAACTGAAACTCCTCCTTTCTTTTATCAAGGTCCTCCAGGATGGCTCTAAGAGCGCCCCCAAGTCTCCCAAGAGCGCCCCAAGAAGGCCCAACGAGGCGCCAAGGAGACCGCAAGAGGCGCCCAAGATGCCTCCAAGAGGCTCCCAAGAGACCCCCAAAAGGCCCTAAGAGACTCCCCGAGGTACGCAAGAGCCCCCCCGGGACCGCCGAAGACGCCCCCCAACGCCCCCAAGCTCGCCAGTGCCCTCCTCCTCCTCCTCCTCCTCCTCCTCCTCCTCCTCTCCTCCCCCTCCTCCTCCTCCTCCTCCTCCTCCTCCTCCTCCTCCTCCTACTCCTCCTCCTCCTCTTCCCTCTCCTCTTCCTCCGCCTATTTCTACCTCTCCCTCCTCCCTCCTGCCCATCCCCACCTCCTGCTCCTCCTCCCCCTCGTCCTCCTCCACTTGATCCTCCTCCTCCTCGTCCCCCTCCTCCTCCTTCTCCTCCTCCTCCTCCTCCTCCGATTTCTCCTGCTTCTTCTTCCTCTTGGGGCACGGCGGTTACCCCAGCCCTTTGTTCCTCCGCATGCTCCCCCCACTTCTCTGATCAAGGCAACTCGTCCATGATTTGTTGATGGGCTGGTGGGGACACAATCGAGGCGTTGACCTAAAGAACCCTAAATAAAGAACGTTGACCTTGTTTCCGTACATTCAACTTCGATTGCCCACCGAGAGCTTAAGGAAAACCGTACGCAAGCTGTGAAACACTTAAAGAAAACCGAACCCCTCCCCAACGAACATGGTTCCTTCTTCAGCGCCCCGACTGTACGCGAAGACCCCAAAATTGCACATCACGTGGGATCTGCGCTCCAGCTTGGGCACCGCGGGGAGAAGCTGCGGCCTCAGGGCGGAGAGGAGAAGAGGAGGAAGAGGAGAAGGGGGAGGAGGAGGAGGAGGAGGAGGAGGAGGATCAGGAGGAGGAGAACGAAGAGAAGGAGAATGAGGAGGAGAAGAGAGGAGGAACGGAGGTGAGGAGGAAGAGGGGAGGGGAGGAGGACCAGCGGGAGCAGAGCGAGCCTAAGATGCAGCGCACCCTCCAGTCCCAAGTCCCCTCCTCATGGATCCCAGCAAGCATTCCTTTTTCACTGGGGGGAATGTTCCCTTCAAAAATGAGCTCCACAAGCGTGCCGTGTAGGCGGGAGCCCCGTTCTGAGGACGCCCCCCTACGCCATTCTTATGCGTGACGAATGAATCTACCAAGATCTACGATCGTGCCACTCAAGAGAATGTCGAACGAATACATGGTTTTGAAAAGGGGCCGCTTTCCATCCGTGTCACCGTGTTGCTTGCTCACTTGAGCGGCTCGGAAACTAGAACACGAGCGTGGGTGTGTCACGAATACCCCATTCTGGCAGCCCGCCACCCTCCAATCGTGATGCCGTTGCACACTGTAATTTTCGGGGAAACGAGCCCACGCCACCCCCGCACCGACCCCCGCACCCAACTCATCCTCAAGCGTTGGGGGGTGGCGGTGGCGGCCCTCCTCAACATTTCGGCGAAATCCTCCTGAGCAATGATGGACCGCCTTCTGTTATTGTTGTTGAGCGTTAATTACTAAACAATTATTATTGTTGGACCCCTTCTAGGCGCCCTGGCGCTCTCGCCGAGGCGCCGGCTACATTTTCATTGAAAATCAGGCTCACGCTCGAGCGGTTTGGGGGACCGCCAAAAAGGCCCCCCCAACAGACTTCATCCTTTTTTACTTAGGGCTGGTGTTCTTGCTCGCCGCCGAAAGCCGCCGTCCTAACAAAACCAGCGCTCCCGCTCGAGATTTCCTCCTGTTTTACCTTGGACTGGCGCGCTAGTCTTTCTCTCATCGGCGCCGCCCCCAGCAAAAACAACGCTCCCGCTCGAGGCCTCCTCCCCTTTTTACTCAAGCCGGTGCTCCTCCTCGCCGCCGAAAACCGCCGCCCTGACAAAACCAGCGCTCCCGCCCAAGACTTCCTTCCGTTTTACGCTGGGCTGGCACCCAACCCTCTCCTGAATTGGCGCCGCTCCCAGCAAGAACAACGCTCCCGCTCGAGATTTCCTTTGTTTTTCCTCGGGACGGTGCTGTTCCTCGCCGCCGACAGCCCCCGTCCCGACAAAACCACGGCTCCCGCTCGATGTTTCTCTTTTCTTACTCAAGGCGGTGTTCCTCCTCGCCGCCGAAAACCGCCGCCCCGACAAAACCAGCGCTCCCACCCGACACTTTCTTCCGTTTTACGCTGGGCTGGCGCCCTACTTTCTTTTTAATTGGCGCCGCTCCCAGTAAGAACATCGCTCCCGCTCGAGACTTCCTCTGTTTTTAATCGGGACGGTGCTGTTCCTCGCCGCCGACAGCCCCCGTCCCGACAAAACCATGGCTCCCGCTCGATGCTTCCTCCTTTCTTACTCAAGGCGGTGTTCCTCCTCGCCGCCAAAAGCCGCCGTCCCAACAAAACCAGCGCTCCCGCTCGAGACTTCGTTTTGTTTTACGCTGGACTAGCGCCATACTCTCTTCAGCATTGGCGCCGCTCCCAGCAACAACAGCAGCCATGCTCGAGACTTCCTCCCTTTCTATTCAGGGCCAGGTCCTTGCCTCACCGCCGACAGCCCCCATCCCCACCAAGGCAATCCTCTCGTTCGATACTTCCTTGTGCTTTGCACTTCGCTGGGGTTCCACTGGCGGTCTCGCATCGGCGCAGCAAGGCGCGGGCATGTGTTTTCGAGGCGGGATGTGAAAATTGGGCGGGATATCTGGGACTGGGAATGACGGACCCCACTCGAGAGCAAGCGTCCCCCATGATGTGGATGGTTATCATGATGGTCGCATGTTTCGTGTGGAAACATCTCGCATGAGGGTAAACTGATTGTTGTTATTGTTGTTGTTGTTGTTGGTGGTGGTGGTGGTGGTGGTGTTGTTGTTGTTGTTGTTGTTGTTGTTGTTGTTGTTGTTGTTGTTGTTGTTGTTTGTACTCTATACAATAGACCCTGGAAGAGTTTCCCGAACGTCTGCAAGGCGGAGGGGCGCGGGGCGGGGCGGGGCGGGCTTTGCCCTCCCCCGGATTTCGGGCAACTCCTCAAGGGTCCCAATAGAAGGCAGAACATCCACCCCCATAATAATTACCGCGACACGCGAATCCGTTTAGTAACCGCACCCAAAGAAGGAATCGAACAAGGCAGGGCTTTTAATACACGCCCGGGGCCTTTTAGTAAACGCCAAGTGTCCGGTCCGTGTGGTTCTTCCTCCCTTGATGTAATGCACTGGAACAGTTCCCCCGAAATTCGGCGAAGGGGCGAGGGGCGGCCTTCCCCCGAACTTCGGGCGACTTCTCCAGGGGGGCTTCAGCCACGGAGGAATCTTCCGACATCCGGCAGGGGGGCGGCGGGGGGGAACCTCGCCCGAACTGCGGGGAACGCCGCCGAAGCCTGAACTCACATGCTGTGGCGCGTTCGAGAAACATCCCGACGGGGGGCGGGCGGCGGGGGCGGCGACTTCTTTGGGACCCGACCCTGGTGGGCCTCTTGGCGGGGTCAGGCATGACCGAACAGACTTATACATAATCCCATCTGGAGCTGGAGTGCGATTGTATATACACTCGATCTGCAACCGAGGTGCCGTCTAGGCACGGCTCCTGTCTGTCCGTCTGTCCACCTAAATCAGATCGCCTGCCTCGAAGCCCTCGAGGAATTCCCCGGAAGTCGGCGGGAGGAGAGGGGCGGGGCGGGGGCGGTCCTCGCCCTATATTCTCGGGGAGCGCCCCAAGGGGCCCCCAAGACACCACAGAAGCCAACAACACGCCCCCAAGAGGCATCCCGAGAGACTCCAGGAGGCATCCGCGTGGCCTCTGGCCTTTCTGCTCGCCCTCCTCCTTCTCCTCCTCCTCCTTCTCCTCCTCATCTGCAAATTCATTATCTGTCTTCTTCTTCTTCTTCTTCCTCCTCCTCCTCCTCCTTCATGTCCTCCTCGCTCCTCCTCCTCCTCCTCCTCCTCATCTTCCTCCTCTTCCTCCTCATTCGAAGGATACTGGCCGCCCCCCCTTTGTTCCTACCTTTCCCTGATCACCTCAACCCTCCTGTGCCTCGTTTCTGGATGGGCTGGCGGGGATACGCGAAGCGTCAAGAACATGCAAGGCACTCAAGATATGTGATGTGGGATATTCTTTGCGCAAGCACCGGCGCCGCGGAAGGCCAATCCAACACGTGGGTCTCTCGACGAGGTGCGCCGAGGCACCACTCAAAATCGCAACTGCCATCTCGCGAGTGTCGCCAGAGTGCGCACCATGGGTACCTGAGGAGAGCCCACCGGTCGGCCGACGAGCTGGGCCGCGGCTCAGCCGCGGCCACTACATGGGTCGAACTCGCCCTGCCCAGGCTTCGCAGCAGCGGGCCAGGCGAGCTCATAGGAAGGCGAGCAACAAGAAGCGTTCCCATCACAGTCAAAGCGTCAAGCGGGACAAGAGAAGAAAGACGAGGGGGGTCAGCGGACGAAGGCGGGAAAATCTGAGCACGCGGGCGGCCGCCATCAGGCTTCGAAAGGCGAATGCTCGACCAAGGGCGCGAAATGACCGCGGAACAATCTCACTGTGTTTGCGATGGCGAGGAGACCGATTAGCATGACGGACGTGCAAACGAATCGGGGCATATCAAAACCGGGGTCGTGAAAACAAGCCACGCTGGAGCTAATGGCCAGTCCAACCCCTGATGCCACCACGTACACCTTCACGTCGTCGGACTTGAAGCCCGCCACGTATAGGGACCCCGTGAACAAGCAATACGTACCGAAGAATATCGCGCTCTGCCAACAAGGGAGTATCCAGTCCTCACTTTTAGCGGCGCTCCGGTGGGCGCACTTGGAAATTGCCGCCAACACTATGGAGGCGAAGGAGCCCCACAAGGCGTTGGCGCTCCACTTCCGCATGGTCGTGAAATCCTTGAACGTATCCAGAGCGGTCCTTATCATGTCCCCATGTGATTGTGGCTTTCGGGGTGAAGCGCTCTTCGATTCCCCATGTGCCTCATCTTCTGATTGGGAAGTATTACCTTCTTGCGTGGCCCCCTCTGTCTCCATCTTAGCTCCAGCATGGAGGTACTCGCGCACCCCCTGGATCCTATGAGACCATTCGTACTCAGCCAAGTAAAACGTTGTTGCGTAACCGCTGCTAAGAATAGCCGTGCTTAAGAACATCATCATCAGCCGGTTTGATGCCACATCCTCTGATAGCAAGACACTGCAAGCAGTACCAAAGACGAGGGTGCCAAGGATGCAATTGCTCGCGGCCGCTTCCCCAAGTGACTTAATGAGTTCCTTGCCACCCGTGCCGTAGTCCGCGCCTCCGTACAAGTGCGGTTGATGGTGCAGGGCTTTTTTTTATTATATCCGACAGATTCATTCCTTTTGGGAGGTGTCCAAGGGCATCCGTGTTCAGTGCACAGCGGTGTCAGGCTCCTGGTAGTGAGCTTGGGACCCTCTTGGTGGGACTTGTGGGACTGCGCCTCCTGTAGTGGAACAGAAGCAGCAAAGAAACGCAAGCTTTCGGAGGTCCGCGCGGATTTCTCGGGTCGGAGCTGGACCCACCCCTCTTGGCGCCAGAGGCGGCGCCAGGGACGCCGCCAGGGGGGATCCAGCGCCGAGCCACGAAGTCCGCGCGGACCTCCGAAACTCTATGTTTATGTAATGTTCTCTTCCTCCCTCCTCCTCCACTCTCCTCCCCCCCTCCTCCTCCTCCTCCTCTTCCTCCTCCTCCTCCTCCTCCTGCTCCTCCTCCTCCTCCATTCTTTTCCTCATCAGTAACTTCTCCCTGTCGCACCCCGAGGCCAGTTTTAAGGGCGGGCCGGGCGTTTCGCCTGAGACTTTCTCACCATGACTCTAAATCTTAAGGAGTGGCAGCAGTTTCACAGATGGAGGGCGGGTGGTTTTCAACATGTGGCTCTCGCCTTAGCGCCGCGCACATTCGTTGTAAACAGTTGCAAGAGTTCCGCGGATTGAAAGCGGGTGGTTTTCAAAATGTGGCTCTCGCCTTAGCGCCGCGCACATTCGTTTTACACATTTGCAAACGTTTCACGGATTGAGGGCGTGCCGTCTTCAAAATGTGACTCTCGCCCTAGCGCCGCGCACATTCGTTTAAACAAATTGCAAGAAATTCATAGGTTGAGGGCGGTTCCTTTTCAAAATGTGGCTCTCGACTTAGCGCCGCGCGCATTCGCTTTCAAACTTTGCAAGGGTTTCACGGATTGAGGGTGGTTCCTTTTCAAAATGTGGCTCTCGCATTAGCGACGCGCACACTCGTTGTAAACAACTGCAAGAGTTTCACGGATTAAGGGCGGTTCCTTTTCAAACTGTAGCTCTCGCCGTAGCGCCGCGCACATTCTTTCTCAACGTTTGCAAGATATTCACATGTTCCCATGAGAAACGTACCAGAAATGTTGTTTTGGAGAGATTCAGGATTATGCGGGTGCAACACATATGTTGACTCGCGGTGCTGAAGTTCCAAAAATGACGTTCTGCCACGATTCTGGATCGTCAAGACGCAGCAGTCAGGTTGATCCGTGGCGTCGAGATCCCGAGAACAATGTTTTGGCACGTTCCAGGATCTTCAAACAGTTGCCTCCGAGGGGGAAGAAGAGAGACCCACAGGCGACATCTCGAGCTTCTGCGACGAGAAACCGACGACGAATCCAGGAGGGGGGGACCGCGCCCCTTGGGGCCGCGCCGCGCCCTCCTGCGCCTCGTGAGTCCGCGCCTCCCGCTGCGCCCGGCGCGCCCGCGCGGCCTCCGTCCCCGCGCCGCCCGCGAGCTCCAGGGCGGCGGCGCTCGCGCGCTCCGCGGCGACGGCGCGGGCGAGGAGCGCGACGAGGCCCGCGAGGGCCGCGCGCGCCATGGCGCGGGGCGGTGGTCTGCGGCGGGGGCATTGGCCGAGGGAGCCTTCGATCAGGAATCCAGGGTCTGGGGGCCGGTGGACCTCCGGTCGAAGCTTGGCCACGGATGTCGCCGCCGCCCTCATCAGAGGAGGAGCCCTCCAGGGTCTGCAGCCTCCTGGGCGCATTCCTTGACGAACGCCCCCGCCGTATCTCCTACGAAATCGATCGATTTGCCTCGAAATCGACTTTCTAGCTGGATGTTGGTCGTCGATTTTGGGCCCGAGGTTGGTTGAAACGTTACTTTTTCCAGCCAAATCCTACCAAACAGTCAATTTCGGGGTAGATCGATTTCGCATCAGATTTCCCAATTTGGGATGGCGTGGAAGGGGGGGGAGGGGCGCTCCTCCTCAGACGCTCTGCTCCTTCGAGGTTCGACAAGGTTCCGGGACGTCTTTCGCACTTTTTTGAGCGTCCTGAGGCGGCCTCGTGGCCGCGGCTGGGTCCCCCTCGAAACTCCAGCCAAAACTCACCCCGGGATCGGTCTGGTGGTCGAGCTTTGACACCCGAATCCGTCGATGCTTCGTCGAGGCTCGCCTTTTTCGGCTACACGCAGGAATGATGTTGGGTCAGAGTGACCTTTGGTGCGCGGCTTTTTGGGGGCCGCGGGGGGACCAAGCACAGGCGCGCGGGGAGCTACCACTGCATCGCGTTCGGCGATCGGGGGGCCCCACTGGGCACGCACCACAGGTCACTCCAGCGAAAGGTCACTCTTACGTCTAGTCGACTTTTCGGGCCCCGGGGCCCACTCCCGCGGACCTGCACAACCGGCAAAATTGGGTCAACCTAGGGGGGGGGAGAGGGGCGAGCTCGATGACCCGGGGTATCGCCCGACCTTTAACAAAAACAGTCCCCACCGAGGTCGGCAATGGGAATAAGAGCTTAAAAAACAAGGACGGTGACGATACGGAGGACGTCTGGTGATAGCACTTACCTTCTCAAGCGCGGGGCGCGACATCGCTGTCGATGACGGGGTCCCAGGGCCTCCTGGGAGCTCCCGCGGCCCCGCTCTCCGCTGCCGCACCGCAATGGGCGGCTCTGGGCCCGCTCTCGGTGTCCCCGGGGCCGCTTCCATGGGGCCGTCAAGAGACGGCTCGGGCTGGAAACCCAGCCCCGCGAATCTACAGTCGAGCTGCTGCCACAGGGAACCCTCAATAAGGAACGAGGCCCCTTGTTTCCACAAGCTGAGCTTCGATTTCCCATGGAAGCCTTAGGGAAGCCCGAGGCAACGTGCACAACAATCGAGGAACTCCGAGCCCCTTCCCAACGAAACGGTCTCCTTCTTCAGCGCTCCGACTGTACGTTGCGATTTTTTTTTTGTTGGGGGGGGGGGGCGGCGAGAAGCGAGCGGCAGAGCGAGGAGCTCCAGGCGAAGCGCCAGACCGTTTCTTGTGGCCAGGCCTTGGGCCCGAGGCTCTCGAGCGAGCGGGCGCGGAGAGCTGCTATGCACCCTCAGCATGGGCGTGGCCAAAGACGGATCCGCTGGCTGAGGACGCAAAGAGCAGCTCTGAACAGCCGGGAGGCACGAGCGGGGGCTGGGAAGACTCAGGAAGAACTTGCTGGGTCTGGGTGGACATGGGCACGCGAACGGGTCAGCCCTGGTTCTGCCACGTGTTTTCTGCTCTTAGCCCCCCACCTGCTAAATTCTGTCGTGCTCCATCCTTCTCCCTCCCCCTTCCATCCGTCCTCTCTTCTCCTGTTTTTAGGGGCGGCGCTAAATGCACGTGGCAGGTAAGGAAGATGTGCCCCTAAAAGGGTGCGATCGAACACGAAGATGACTGAAAACGATGGTTTGGGCCATAAGTGTTGAATTCCACGCGAGCATAAAGGAGCGATCAGTCTTAAAATGGTTGATGCTGTTGTTGTTGTTGCTTCTATTGCTTCTGCTGTTGCTGCAGTTGTTGCTGTTTTTTTGCGGTTGTTGTATTTGTTGTTGGTGGTGGTGGTGATGGCGGTGTTGCTGTTGTTGTTGTTGTTGTAGTTGTTGTTGTTGTGTTTGTTGTTATTGTTTTTCTTGTTGCGGTTGTTGAGCTCTCACTTCAAAAGAATGATTATTGTTAACCCCCACACAGGTGCACATTCTGTTTTTCAATTGAAAAGCCCGTCCCAGGCTCGCACCCTTTTTTTTATCAAGGAATAGCATCCTGCTCAAACTGCGTTCTTGGCCCCTCTAGCTACAACGACAACAACGGCGCCCGCCTGATAGTTCCCCACAAATAATTCCACCCTCGCGCGCACCTTCGCGCGGGACTTCCTGACAATGCATGCAAGAATCGCGCTCTTCCGTGGTTCTTCCATGCAATTTATTCAGACGCCGCGCCCTCGACAATCAGGACTCACGCTCTCGCTTTGGCGTTTCTCGCGATGTGCTTGGGAATCGTACTATCGCCCAACACTTCCTCGCGATTCATGCGCGACTCACGCTTCAACAACCCGCCTGATCGACCTGGCCGCCTGGGCCTGCCTTCCCGACCCGCCCGTGAAAGTCTGAACGCCCGATCTGCCCGTCTGGTTCTGCCACGTGTTTTCTGCTTCTGGCCCCCATCCTGCGATTTTCTCCCATGCTCCATCCTTCTCCATCCCCTTCCATCCGTCCTCTCTTCCCTTGTTTTAGGGACTGCGCTAAATGCACGTGGCAGGCAAGAAACATTTCCTCGAAGGGGGTACGATCGAAGACGACGACGGCGGGTATCGAGGGTATGGGTTACGGTCTGTATGTCACGCGAGCAGATAGGAGCGAACAATCGGAGGTTGGGGGGTGAGATCGCAGTGAAACGGAGACCCCCCACCGGGAAATCGGTTTCGGTTTCGTGTTCGTGTCGTGCGTGCGGGCGCGGCGAAGCTGCGCGTGATCCTCCTGTAGCTAGACCGGAATAGGAGCGAAAATCCGTTCCCGTCCGCCAGTGGCTGGGAGGTGTCCCAGTTGGGCCGGGCGGTGTCCCGGGTGTCCTGGGCGTCCCGGCGCTAACGCATGTCGCTAATTTGATAATTCATTTGATCTCAATCCCCCCCCCCCCCAACTTCCTTATCGCCGGCAGGGCGGTCGTATAGGTATTGACATTCGTTACTCTTGTTGTTGTTGTGGTGGTGGTGGTTGTTGTCATTATTGTGATTGAGTTATCACTTTTAAAGAATACTTACTGTTGACCCCGCCAGTGACCATGTTTCAATGAGAATGTTCCTCCCAGGCCTCGCACCCTGTATTTCTAGAAAAAGAAAATTATTTGGTTACCGAACTGCGCCCCTGGCCCCTGGTTTACAACAACAGCGGCTCCC